CAGGCAAATTTTAAATTTGACTGAATTTTAATTTTGACCACAACATATATATATATCTGAAAGAGTAATTGCCAAGTATATGACGAAAGAGAATACATATATATCTGATGCAATCAAAAGAAAAAACAACAAATATTTGATCATTTCTCATAACGAAAAATAAAAGCAAATTTACGTAAAAAAAAAATATTTATGGCTAATTCGAAAGAAAAAAAGAATGGAAAATAAATTTTTAGAATTTTATTGTCTATTTTGGAATGAGATCTCCATTTAATGTGAATGATTGTTAATAACCAATTCATTGTAATCTTCAAGGGACGCGTATACAGATGATGATTGTAAGAACGAACGAAAATGTGCGTCGCCGAATATCGATTGATAGCAAAGAAAAGTTACGAAAGTTTTAGGTTATGTTTGATTGAGTTATTGATCATATTTTTTTTTTCTTGTCAATATTTATTCAATAAATATATGTATATTTATAGACTATTTTATTCTTCCTTTCTGTGGTTAGTTATATAGACACTCCGATTGTCCTTGTCTTCATACCTTACACGTCATGAATTGTTTTTCTTTCTGAATGTGTCTCATTAATCCTGTTTTAGTTGAGACATTTATAGTAACAATAAACTATATAGTTTTATTCAATGTTAAAACCAGAACGAATAACATTCTCTGCTGCTGATGATAAATTTAATCAGTTGACAAATAATGACCAATTAAATTCTTTTCTTAATGATTCTCTCGTTCATTATTCAACAAATTTTATAAAAACTGATCAACAAGAATTAACATCTATTAAACATTCAAATTCTTTAGACCAACTTTCATCTATAACAATGTTTAGTCAACAAAAATAACAAGAAATTGAATATGTATCATCAAGATCAGCACCACCATCTTTAATCTCTGAAGAAAATCCAATTCTTAATGAGAATAATATACATCAATTTGATACATTAACATTACAACAATTAGCGATTGGTACACGCCAAAATTTATCAAATATAAATGAAGATAATATTGAACCAAGCCCATCTCATTCAACATCATTGATTGATGTACAAAAAGAAATTAATCGTGTAAGACAAATGAAATACAATCGAACATATTCATCACCAACATCATCATTTTGTTTACGTTTAACAATAAATCCATTTAATGGTACAAATAATAATATTGATTTATCATCAATAACACAATCAGTTCATTTTACTGAACAAACAAATTGTCGTCCATTCTCATCAACATTTATAACATTAATACCAGAATCAATTGTACCAACATCAACAAATGATAATCATTTTATACCAATGCATCATATTGAATCACCATCATTAGAAGATCATGAAGTATTTGAAACATTTCATACAAAACAAACTTCTCTACCTGGTGTAGCTATACGAAAATCAGTTAATTCATTAAATCGTAATATACCAACATCAGAAAGAGATTTAATTGCATCATTACATCGTCGTGCAAGTAAACAAGGTTTAGATAATCAATCTGATCATGGTACAACATATAGTGGTGTATCAGATGATATGATATTTTCTGAATGGGATAAAGAACGTAATTTATTTCAAGATTATATTAATTCACCGCGTATAGAAATACGTGTACTTTTACAAGAACGTTCTGAATATCAAAAACAAATTGAAACAATAAATAATAATTTAAGTGAACATAAAAACATTTAAATTTAACACAAATAAATGTTGATCAAACAAAATTTGATTTAATTAAAAAAATCTTGTACTTGAACAATTACAAAAAGAATGTGAAATAATTAAAGAACAAAATATCAATTTTACGTTGTGATGTTAAAGCACAAACAGGTGTTATTGATGAATTAAAACAAAAATAGCTGAATTAATTGTTCATATACAAAATCATATTATTATTAAATGTCGTTTAGAAATTTCGATGATGAATTTAGAAAGTGATTATAAAATGATTGTGGGTGTGGGTGTGGGGTGTGTGTGGGTGTGGGTGTGTGTGATTGTGTGTGGGTGTGTGTGAGTGGGGTGTGGGTGTGGTTTCATCTGATGCAATCATACATCCATACCCACACCAACACCCACATCCACACCCACACACCCACACCCACACCCACCACACCCACCACACCCACACCCTGTAGATCTTCTCATCACACCCATACATACACCCACGCCCACACCCGCACCCTCACACCACACACCAATACCTTCACACCATACACCATCCACATCTACACCCAAACCGTGGACAAGTGAATTTGCAACAGATAATCATTAATCGTATTCTCTCACCCTTTCTCTTTCAATCAAATATTTTCAAACTTATCATCGACCGATTATCGGAAGATGTAGGTTGGATGTCTGCTCTGATTACGTGATCTTTCTTCACAAGTCTTTAGTGCTCGTTGAGACATATTCATGTGGTTGCATTTGTTTTAATTCACTGTGTACGCCGGAGACAGTAAGAGTCTATATATAAATAAATAAATAAATGCAAGAAAGAACAGAGAAAAAAAAAGATACTTACCTTTTCATGATTTGAAAAGAGTGAATTCTATATAGAATCCAATCTTGAAGAAAGAACAAGAACAAAAAATTATTTTTTTCATACGCGTGCAAGAGACTCGGTGTGTTTATGTGCTTTTTCCTTTTCCTTTTGTTTCTTTGGCAAACAACATAAAGGCAAAAATAAGAAAAAGTAAAAATTTGTTGTGTACACACCAGATGTAACATTATTAACTGTTGTAAAAAAAGTAACCTAACTTATTTTCACAACGATATATACAAATTACATTGAGACATTTTGGATTATCACATCAAATTATATTAATTCCTGTGAATTATTCAGGAAACGTTAGTATTTCATTTGAAAATAAACTGCATTATTAATCGAATTTTCACAATCAAAACTTATTAGAATAGTTCTCTGATGACCAATAAATCATCTCAAGTTCGTAATTATTTCAAATTAGACTTATTAATTGCACGATCACGCGTTTCACTTATTCATTTATTTAAAAATCGTTATTTATTATTCAACAATGGTCAAGTATGGAATGATTCACCAACATGTGGAAAAAATGATTTAACCAATGTGATTGCAAAAACCAAGAAAATTAGTTTAACACCTGTACAAAAGACATCTGTTTCTAATGGAAATTCAGATGAATGGGATGTAACAACTTTAACTAATCTTCTATTATTTATTGATCGTCCAAAAACATTAAGCACAAGTGAAATACAACAACTTGATCAAGAAGATAAACTTTTGCAACAATTAAAAGAAATTCGAAATGAATTAGCTCATAATGCAACAAAATCTGTTGATTATGTGCAATTCAATCAAATATGGACTGATTTATCAGCAATTCTTGTTACATTTGGTGATGTTGACACAGAATTAGATAAACTAAAGGATGATAGTGTGTTTGAATCCCCTAAACAACCAATAAATGAAGAAAATATGAAAGAAGCATCACGTTTAAATTCACTGGGTACACAAGCTCATAAAGATGGAAAGTATTCTGAAGCAGTTACATTCTTTACTAAAGCAATAGTTTTACCAGGTGTTTCAAATCATGATCGAGCCATTTTTTATTCGAATATGGCCGCGAGTCGTTTATCATTGCACGAACAACAGGAAACTTCTTCCATCGAATTTGAATATATTGATCCAAAAGATGAACGATATCGCGCATTGCAAGATGCTAAACAAGCAAGAAATCTTTGGTCAACATGGTGGAAAGGACATTTTCGTGTTGGAAAAGTCCATGCTGCTTTAGATGACCATGAAAAAGCAATTAATTCATTTGAACGAGCATTTACACTTGATCCTACGAGAAAAGAGATTCAAGAAGCAATGGATGAAAGTCGTATAATGTTAAATCGACAATCGCAACAAGAATATCTAGATCCAAAACTGTACACGAAAACAATTCCTGAAATTTTGAATGAATTTCAACAAAAATTTGGTATAGATCCAGAAATGGTACGAAAATATGATAGTTTAATCGAAGAAATAGATCCATCACGAGCTGACGTACTAAAAGGACATAGATATGAACTTGGAGATATTGATGCTAAACAAGACTATGAACAAGCTGCTAAATATTTTGCTAAAGCAGCAAGTGAGGGCAACGCCGAAGGAATGTGCAATTTAGCTCGATTAACTGATCGTGGCTTAGGTGTAAAGAAAGATCATAATTTGGCTCTCAAATTACTTGAGCAAGCAGCCGCGCAACCACCACAAAATCCCATATTTAAACAGTTTCCAAATGTTGGTGTCGCCGAAGCTGAACATGCTTTAGGAGTTAGATACTTCGAAGGCATTTCCGTTCGCAAGGATCTATCAGCAGCTGCCTACTGGTATCAACGTGCCACTGATCATGGAAGTGCTCTGGCTGCTAACAATTTAGGTTCAATGTATCTGGATGGCCTTGCGGTTGACAAAGATCTTGAAAAAGCTGAGCAATTATTGGAATTGGCAGCAAGAAGGGGAAATCCACTTGCTATGCAGACTTTAGCAGAACTTTTGTTGTCTAAAAATAATTTCCAAATGGCGCAAATTTGGTACAGCCGAGCATGTGAAGCAGGCAATGTTGTAGCTCAACAGAATCGTGATCAGTTTGCCAAAACAATAGAAAAAAGGCAACAACGTATGAGTCAATGTTCATCGAATGAATTGGAGGTAGTTAATGCAATCGAATACTTTTCTAGCTTATGCAATCCTAAAAATGTTCCATCGGTAGCGTCGGATCGTTCATACATAGAAGATTATAAAGTGTTAAAAGAACATGCCAGTCGTGGTTCAATAACCGCTAAACAACTTTGTGATGCTTTGGACCATTTTGTACAAGCGCTAAACATACTCTTGTCTTTTGAAAGTTTAACAAAAGAACAAGAAGACAAGTTTATTCATGAACTTTCACAATGCTATCGTATTGAACCTATTGTAGCTCAGATTCCATGTCAAATGCATAAAAGAGTTAGCGAAGTGATTGATCGAGTACTTTGCCGATGCACTAAAGAATCGAATTCTGTTCCTTCGCAAGTCGATGAAAATGTTCGATTATGTTACGCTACATTAAATATGAATTCATTTGAATTAATTGATCAATTTCTTACTTCTTGTAAACAAGAGTATCCAAAATCAATCTATTTCTTTCTATTAAGCGGGGCAGTCAATGGGTTTCTACGTCGGTCTGACGTTGGTTTGTATAATATTAATAGTGGACTTGAGATAGAACCAGATAATTGCGAGCTTTTGTATCATAAAGCTGTTCTGTTGCGTCACTTGGCTATGAATATGAATATGGATATGGATGAAGCGATCAAAGCCTATCAAACATTTCTTAGAGTTGCTCCAAAAGATCATCGCAAAGTTCCCGAAGTATATTATGAAATGGCTATCTGCTATGTTCAAGGTTACACGCCTGAAGTTGCAGCTCCCTGGGTCAAAAAGCTATATACGGAAGGTCAACAGGCAGAGAAATTACAATTACCATGTTTTTTGCCTTATAAGTCATGTAATATTGCATATTTAAAGCCCATGTTTGATATGGAATTTGTACAAAATATAAAATCAGTTTCTGATAATAATCGCAAACAACGTCTTACTGATCCTCATAGAGTGGAAGTTATTCAAAAGCATCGCGAATGGGAGGGCAACACATTACAAGAAAAAAATAATCCAAGTTATACGGTTATCTCTACCACTCTCAAACCTCGAGTTAAACAGCAAACAGCCAAATCATTAATTGGTTTGAAACCAATTACATTAAGAGAAATAGATCCAACAAAAGATCAAGTTTATAATGGATATGTACTTTCTGTAACAATAATTGAAGAAGCATACTCATGGACTCCATCAATTCACCTAGTAATCGAAGATGAAAATTTTGATTGTGAGCGAATGCTCATTTATAATTTTCCTGAAGAACAAGGTGAATACTTAATTAGTAAATTGTATACTATTGGAAGTAAAATGCATATTATCAATCCATATTTACGAATAGGAGCCGGAGATATGAAACCAACAGTTCGTGTTGATGACTTTTCTTCTATTGTAATGCAAAGTGAATCTGAATGGATATTGAATATGTGTCGATATTGTTGCGAAGCAAATGCATCTAAGGTTTGTAGCAAATGTCAACAAGCTCATTATTGTTCAAAAGAATGTCAAATCAATGACTGGAAATTATACAAACATAAACTTATATGTAAAAATGAATGAATACAATGTATGAATCATGCTTTGTTATAATTATCTAGTTTCATGTAATTTAGTCAAGAACTACAAATTATAATGAATACAACATTTGCGTACTTAAAATACAAAGATTTAGGTTGACTTTATGATCAATAAAATTTTTTTATGATTTCTGTCTAAAAAAGGCATTTACACAGAATATAAAAACACAATCAAATCCAATAGATCACATTTCTCACAAGTAACGTTCATCGTTTCGACTCACTCGAGGGTGTGGGTTTGGATGTGGGCTATTGTTCTATTGTCTCTAGAAGAAAAGAGGTACACCCACACCCCACCCTTTTCACGAAAATCGACTTTTTGGAGGAGGCCGCCTAAAAGGCATACGAAGAAAATTTGAAACTTTGAGTAAAAACAGAGCTTCTCAAATGATGTATTTCTAAAACGTAAAGCGAGTTTGAAAGAGTGACTGCATATACTTTTTACTTCTTTGATATGAACTCGTCGTAACAGATCTGTTTCTGCGTTAAAAATGGGCTTAGCTCTGCTTTCGCATTATCTGTGATAAAAGAGTGATATTTGTTTTGCATACACATTTATTATCTTTAGAATTATTAGAACTGAAGTAAAGTTAACGACCACATAATTGAAATAAATCTAGTTAAAAATGATTGCAACATCAGCACTGCTCAATATCCATTCATCATTAATTCCCCAATATTTCCTGTAATTTAGCAAATTGTAACATTAAATCTTCAATTGTTTTCTTGAAGGGAATATACGTAACACCCAATTCTTTTTGTGCTTTGGAACTATCGATGTCATAATGATCCGGCAGCCGTTGATCTTTTGTACTAATCGGTGTTGTATCCTTGATACTTTTTGGAATAACAGTACTTTCGTGAATAATGTCGACTATTTCCTGATTATTCCAACTTGTTGGTGCTGCTATTAGATAGCGTTCATTTGTCTCTGTCATTCGTTCTAAAGCTGCTACATGTGTATAAGCCACATCTCTCACATCAATCTCCTTTGGTATATGTACAACTTTAGCATCTTTACCATTAGTAATCAGCGACCATATATAGGCATTGGATGTATGTATATCATCTAATGACTTGAAACCATTAACGCTTGGGCCAAGAACCAACGGTACACAGATAGTTGCAATTGTAAACGAAGGTTTTTCTTTTTCAATAAATTCCCATGCAGCACGTTCAGCACACACTTTTGATGCACGATAAGCCGTGAACGGATCATTTATTGCAGTAACACCTTGTTCGTAAGTCAATGAACACCAATCTTTTTCAGTATAGGAATAGCCAGGTCGAAGTCCTTTACTCAGATCAAGAATCGCAACGAATGATGATGTAATCACTACTCGTTTAATTTTAGTTTGATTTCTTTTATTGTATTCATGAGCAGCCTTTAAAATTCTTACGGTTCCATTGATTGCTGGCAGGAGCATCTCTTTTTCTGGATTCGTAAATTTATAATTAGCTGGCGAAGCAACATGAATAATACCATCAATACCTTGAACAGCCTCATCGAATGAATCTGTGGTGATATCACCGATATGTACGAATGAAATTCGACTTTGATGATCCTTGGACATGCCGTCCAGAACTTGCGATTCTTTAGCTTGAGCTCGAACTGTTCCACGAATATTGTACCCTTTTTCAAGTAGATATTTAATTATCCACCCACCGATAAAGGAATTTGCACCTGTAACGAGAATGATTTTAGGCATAGTGTTCAAAATCTGAAAAGCAAACAAAAAAGTGTACAGTATAACCGAAAATGCAGCTTGGTAACATTACGATGAATAAAGCAACAGAGATTAGATGATTCATTGAAGTTTAGTATCATTGTCTCATAGAGATACAAATGACACAGCGAAAGTAAGAATTAGCAAATCGAGTCATACAATTAGAAATGATTGATTTATTGTGTTGTACCGTGATTGTTCGAGAGATGCAGTGAAATAATTTGATTGATTATAAAATCCACGTATAAAGCATATGATGGAAAGACACTCGAATCGATCCAATAACAATTCGTTAAACAACGAATCAAACTTTACAGCAATTTACTTCAGATTTTTTGCCTGTAGTGTGACTATGGTCGAGCAATTTAGTGCACGTGCTACATGCTGAATAGATTAAAAAAGAAATCGAATATGTCATCGTTATCAGTCGTTTTCTTTTTCTTTTTTTCTCTGTTTTGTCGTCGAATTTTTTTTTATAGATCTTACCTTGCATTTGCCTACGTTATATCAGCGTTGTTTTATGAATGATCTTGCACGTGAGATTTTGAATGTTGAAAGAAGCGTTAGAACGAAAAAGAGTGTTTTTCTTTCTACTCTGCGAGTGATGAGATCGAGTGTTCTGAAATTATTTGACGATTGTCTTTACTGTCATATGTTCTTGGTATAAAATAAGAAAGATATGATTTACTTATGTTTTTCTAGGACTGCTTACTCTTCATTCTTTTTTTTTCAAATCGAAAAGTCAGTTACAAATCAAATTAACAATATACGTATGAAAGAAAATTGTTTCAAAAAAAGGAAATATCAGTGTGCAAAATATAAACTAATTCGTTTTTCTCTAATCAAATAGTGAGTTTATATTTATCCGTGTACTACATTACAAAATATATTTAATATAGTTAGCGATACTAGTAGGATATGGGGTATGGATATGGGGCGTGTTAGGGGCAGAAAAACACCCACACCCTCTATCTCGTCTCTCATCCTGGCACATTCACTGTTACCCTTTCCTCTTTTCTCTCTTTCCTTGGCATATTCATTGTTGTCCGTCCCTCTTTTCTCGTTCCTCTTTCACTCTCTTCTCTCTCTAAGAGTGTGGGTGAGGGTGAGAACGAAAATAAAAGCACAGCGCGCAGCATCAAAATGAGCGATCCACAATAATGTATCTGCGGGTTCTTCTGTTAGTACATATTGAAAATCAAATAAGTTTGCTGGAAACTAGTAGAAAGTATTGAATCTTGAGTTTATGTGACACAATTTCTGGAAGGTCATTCTATGATTTTCAGTATGATTTTATGGTTCTTTGAAATCATTCTCTGATTGGTGAATACAAATGTTCAAAATATAAAAGTTATGCATTCCATTACAAATGCCACTGGAAGTTTCCGAAGACTCCCCAACAATTTTTTGTTTTCATTCGTACTCCATAAAAATTGGAGACTCCCTAGAAATGCACCAGGGCTTTTACATTTTTCAGAGAGTTCACTACTAGAGAGCTGTAGAGTCAATTTTTTTGGCTACAAAACCCGATTGCGACTCTAAAGAAACTAAATTTTTTTAACAATGTCGTTTAAAGGTAAAATATTCCCAGCAGAGAAAGGCTCATTTATTGCCTTAAAATGCACGCTTTTTATACTAAAAACCTCAACTTTTTCTATAAAAAAAAAGTCATTTTATGGGTGCTATCATGTTCAAACTCGCTTTTGTTCCCAAAAGAATACATTTTTGAACGTGTAAAAATCCACATTTGTATTCCTAAAAATGTAACTAGATAGTGATTTGCTCTTTTTTTCTGTTATACAGTTCATTATTAATCTATGTGACAGATATTTTCTTTTATCTACTGATATAAAGAATGAAGTTTTGGTAAATCAAAAAGAAAATTATCGAAGTCGAAGTGAACCTTGTAACCGATTTCGACTCCGACAGAGTCGAATTTTAGAGTCTAATACAGATCTCTATTCAGCGGTGATTTTGGGAGCGAGAATCGACTAGAGTAAGATGATTTACGTTTAAACATTTTTTCTCGCAAGTAATCATTTTCTGTCAAATTCCTAGGCTAAGAATGATTATGAATAAAGTCATACAATATATAAAAGTAGTATGAAAATGCGCTCTATAAATAAAGTTCAAAAGAGTGTCTAATTTAATTTGTTAATGACGTTGTTTGATCTTCTCGGCAACAATCTTCTCCGAATAGTCCCACCATTCGCGAGCTCGTTCAGGATTTTCCGCATGCGGATTATCGACTTTGGTCTCTCGACAATCAGAATGATATTTTCCTGGCACAGCTTTGTCCGATACGGCACAAAATAAACTCGTTTGGGCACCTTCTAGTTGAGTTTTGAAGAGGAGAAATCGTAAAGGAGCGATGAACCATTGAGATATAACTGTATGTCTTTGAAGACCTGTATTAACTCCTCCAGGATGAAGAGAATAAGCCCGAAGGCCTTGTGCACCGAAACGACGCTGTAATTCAATTGTAAAATATATATTTGCTATTTTACTGAGCGAATAAGCATGCCAAGGTTTATATGTCTGTTTGTTCAATTGTTCAGTGTACGTTTCAAGTGTGCACGGCACTTGCAACAAGGCGTGAGATATTGATGAAACATTGACTACGCGTGATTTTGATTTGAGTAGTTGGGGAAGAAGTAATTGAGTAAGATAAAAATGACCAAAATGGTTTGTGCCCATTTGCATTTCGAAGCCGTCCTTCGTACGTGAATATGGACAGGCCATTACTCCGGCATTGTTGATAAGAGCAGTGATTGAAGTATTTCTATCAATAACAAAGAGAAATTCGTAAACTAAATATTCATTGTCATCGTAACACTTACTCGCCCTCATTTTTCTTGTATTCTTCGATACATTTTTCGATTGAAAGTAGATCAGCCAAGTCGAGAGGATAACCGCTGATGAGTTTATCCTCTCTTGCCACTTTTTTGACGTCGTTGATCGCTTGTTGTAGATTGCTTGGTCGTGCAAGCAATACCACTTTGGCGCCACGCTTTGCCAATTCGAGAGCCGTTTGATTTCCAATACCACCAGCCGATCCAGTAATTAAATAGGTTTTTCCACTAAGATTTTTTGTTTTAAGAGCATTGAACTGCTTGCCACGGGCAAACCATCGTGTGAGGAAGCAAACACCCACAATGTAAAGTATAATGAAAATATATGATGAACGAATAAATAGCCAGATAGAATGAGGAACAAAGAATATGGAGAATGCTGATAAGGGAAGAGTGAGAATTGAGAAGAGAAGGACGAGAAAAGCTTTTGCTTCTGGTCGACGAATATAATATAATAATAGATTAGCCATATCGTCGATTTGAATTCAAAAATTTAGTCAATCGTGTTGTTACTCTTTATAAATAGAGGTATGTTTTTTTTACCTCAGCATCGTTAAAAACATATTTTGTGTTACTAAAATAAGTGACAAATGCATCGGAGTGAGTAACATGAGTGTCAATGGTTGACAACGACAGAAAAAATAAATATAGGTGTGACTGAATCATTGCAAAAGAACTGATGTGTCCTCTGACATCTATATATCACGCAGATTGGTGAATACGAACCATTCGAACAACAATTGAGTCAGACAAATAAGAAAAAAAACGCGTAAAAATTGAACGAAAATAAAATCGTAAAAAGCGCATATTTTTACGCGTTTGTTTTTTTTAAATTGGATGTATCTCTAGAGAGAACAATCATATTTCATAGACCCCGGTTGTTTAAACAATAGTTTAATTTTGAAATATAAAAATCTGTATTATATTTAAAACTTTTGAATCTTAAATTTAATACAGATTCTAATAGACCAAAATTACACTAATATACAAGATGATAACAAAGTTAAAATAACTAACAATTCATCTATACTATTGTCTAAGCAACTTAGCCCTCGCCTTTATCCACCGACTCTCACCCTTAAAATAATGTACGTGTCCAATGTTTTAATAAAAACATTTGTTCACTGCTAATCAATAATAAAGTAATTATTACCTATATCTGAAAACATCAACATTAGATTCACCAAATCATGCATATAATCTGTCAAAAATGATGATCTATGGCAAAAATCATTGAAATTATCGAAAAAAAAAACCGACGATTACTCGCCAATTTTTTAGCGATTTTGAGGACATAAGGCAAAGGAAGGGTGAAAATAAACGATAGAATCAGTGTCGCAGAATAATCGAATGTCGGCGATGGTCTGACGCATTTTCTCAGTATCTTGTGCACATGGTGAAAAAGAGAACGCTATTTTTTTACAGGTGAATAAACGTCAGTTAAAAAAAACCAGTCACTTTCTGTCAACAATATATACATGAGACCGCTGATCAGCGACAAAGCAAAAAAAAACCTTATATATTCAAGTATTGCTTTGATCTTATGATACAAAGTATCTAAGAATTAGAAAAACTAATAGAAGATAGAAATAGCATGAAAAAACAATGTATTACTTGAAGTGATAAGCATTTTCATTCCTGATCAATTAGAATAATGATGAACGAATTCACAGACAAGGATGATGGAATGTATAGCTGTACCTTGTTACAAGGCTCTTTATTGCACAGAGTTGAGAAACCGAGATCTGCTGTCGCCAGAAACCTGCTATACCATTATTTATAATACATATCATTCGGGAGCGGTTTTGAAGGGACGAGTTTGCAGCAGAAATAACATATCAGTAATCAACATAGTCAATTGCCTGCGTGCTGCCGAGATCCCGAGAGAATACCCGTCATCGTAATAAAACAAGCCTGACAAAAAGAAACAAAACTGATAAGTCGTCTTGCAATCATCATTTCTTTCACAAAGTATAGCGATGTTTTCCTATCTTTCAGAAACAGGTCAGCGAATCCATAGGATGAGCGCTACCTTGTTCTATATTATCAGATGATTAATGCAAGAAAGACAAAGTTTGATCAATTGAAAACATTTTATTTTATTTCTTAAATAAATGTTAGAAAAAAAAACTAGATATGTTCAAATCATTCCCATTGTAAATAGACAATATTCAGTATACGTTTAACTGTCAAATGAGAAAGTAGTTTTTCACATTTGACCATTTGCTGTTGAAAGTTCAAAACATAATGAACGAAGATGATGATTATTAATTCGATTAATTTTTTTTGGAATAATACGTAAAAACGATTGAATATCGATGATATTTATACGTTCAACTTTGAAATATTCCATATAAGGACAAAGTATGAAAAGAAAATCAAGTTCTTTAATATTATTAATCTCTTCAAAATAGACTTTGGTAATTTGAATTGTTTCTTTTATTGAATACACAATAAAAAATTTCTTAACAGTTAATTCTGTTGTTTTGTCTCTTGATAATGAATGAGTTTTTAACGTCGTTATATCTGATAATAGATTAATAACTTGAATCAATACAGAAATTAAGATTCTTTTTTTCGAGAATTTCTAAATAATAAATTTGTGTTTTTGTTAAAACACATTCAATTTCTTTTGACAACACTTCGTCAAATATAGAATCAGAAATAGATTCGAATGTCAAACAAGTTAATGTCGAATATTCAATATTATTTATCATATAATTATGTCATCTTCTACTAAAAATAAAGAAAATTATTGAGTTTCTAGGGAAATAAATTTATTCTATACCTATATGAACGAATTATATATTCAATGTCGGTATCTCTAATTTCGCCTCCAAATATCCATTTTTGTTGAATCCAAAATGATGAAGAAAATTGATTTTGTCTTCCAATAAATGTTGGATACTGTCGTTCATTATCCAGATGTTCATAATATATAAAATGAAATTTTTCTAATTGAGAAGAAGAATTTAAGATCAATTTTTTCAATCGATAAGCATCAAGAAAAGTAATATCATCTGATACAATAATAGTTAAAATATTTAAATTTGAAATTGATTTTAGATTATTTAATTGAATTGATAATGATGATAATATTATAAGATTTGAATTATTTATTTTTATTTTCTGAACAGTTAAACGACGAAATTGTAGTACATAAGATATTAATGATGCAAATTCATTCAAAGAACAATAATGATTAATAACAAGATATTCAATCGGACTTAATCGATTATTTGTAGCCATTGGAAGTGTTATTGAATGAGAATTATTAGAAAATGATATTCGATAATATTTTAATTTAGATAAAAGAAGTCTTAATCGATAAATCTCATTGATTTCTTCTTTTATATTCGATGTTTTGATTGTTAATGAAAAAAGTTGTGGGAATGAAAATAAATCAATTGAAGACGATCAAACGATGAATCAAATAAAAATGTCGATTAGCAAACATATGCTCTTTAAACATATTCATTATTCGATCATTTTCAAAATAAATAAAATTGAGTTTTTAATAATACAGATGAACAATGAAGAAGTTCTTCAAATCGACAATAAGGAGTTGAAAATGTTTCAGATAATTCATATTCATTAAAATAATCAAATATTTCACATAATAATTCATTTGACAAATCTTCAAAATAACTCACCGGTTGATTTATTACACCAAAAAATACAAATCATTTTATATTCATCAAACAAATAACTTATTGCAAAATTTTTTTGTTTTTTTCTTTGGAGAATTTCTCACAAGGGAATTTTCGTTTATTCTCATTCATATTTATTTTTCAATCGAAATTGAAGAAATTTATTTATGAAAGAACTCTTCACTTTGAATACGCTTTTATATAGTCTTCAGAGAAAAGAACAACAAATCGTCTGGTTCGACGTCCAATTGAAAAAGCTATAGACTGAAAATGAAAGCAATAGATAACCGTCATTGAACCTTAATATACAATCAAATAACTCAAAATTCGACCATTCGGCTTTGAACTCAACCAAAATCAATTAAAATTTCGACCAATTCCAATTCATTGCTCGATTTATAGTTGATATCAAGAGTCTGTCGAAATGCTGTTTGAGTCGCATCGAAATTGCCCATATCCCATTGCAATGTGTCCATAATCTACTGTATTTAAATGATGTTAGGATGATTCTCAAATGGTACTAAATTTATCGCTCGTTCTAAATATTTCAAGGATTCATCATATATTCCTTGCCGTCGATAAACATAAGCGAGTCCTATGTGTATGTGCAAAAGATCAGCTGTATCCATTCGCGATTCAAGTTTTTCATCAATCGAAAGAGCATTTTCAAAATGTTGACGTGCGATTGAATAGTTACTATTGGTCAAACTCATTCGACCTAAATTTTAGTGAGTGCGAGCTAGAGCTGAATGACCAGGTAGTAAAGAGTGAAGCCAAATAGCATGTGACTTTCCATATTGTTCAACAACTTCGCACACATTTCCTACACTGAATGGCGGTGATAGCGAGGATTAAAAAAAATCCGTAACAAAGTGAGCTCATTTCTATAAAACTGCCATTCGTAGATCAGTGCCGTTCAATAATACAGTTTTCCATGGGAATTCAGGAGAACATATGCTGGTGAAGAAATAAACGATTCTTCAAGATCATTGTCGGAGACAGTCTAATTTCTGGTCTTCTTCTCTTCTGAGTTAGTGAGGTTCAATATCATCGTACATCCGATTTAGAAGCCTTACGTCAATGATACCTTATCGGTTAGAGTCACGACGTTTCTCTATACATTAGTGTTTTATCTCGACTTCAATCTGTACTGTCAATTTGCTATTGTGTTTAATTTAAATTGGACTTTTCTATTGCATGCCACATCATCCTACATTCTCTTTGCTTCAGCGTGATTTTAATTTTAAATCGATCGAAAAAAAGAATTCAACTAAAGGAGAACAAACAACGGGAATTGAGTTCAAAGGTGAATGCTATCGGTAATCAATTAGTCAGACATAGTTGACGATATATTGTTTGGTCGATTAAAATTTAGGAATTATTTGAACATTTGAAAAGAAAAATAGGAAATGCTTCGGAGGTGTTCTCTTTTTCTTGAAAAATTGTACACTGCTGGAGCTGAGTCGGAGCTGTCCTACTCTGAATTTTGAAAAAACATGGTGAAGCATCTTCATCAGTGAATAAAGACATTTTATAATCACATCACATTAATTGAGCCTCAATGGATACAAAGTTCAGTAGTAGACTCAAATTTCTTGAGCAAGTCTGTTATAGTCTTGCGAAAGGAGAACTTTTCGTGAAGAGTCTGAGAAACCATAGGACAAATACACAATCAATACCATCTATAGCACTCATGAGATCTTGTTTGAATAATTTCATCTAGTCGAAAAAATCAAGAAAATAAAATTTCTCTAGTTTTTCGATTAATCTTCGATGAATGTTGCTTGTTGTGGATGTCATTTAGTATAATGAATCGATTTTATTATTGCAAGAATCAAATTCTACATGCGCAA